TCAAAACACCTTCTAGACCTAGATACAGAACGATTTGGAGACTCTGTAACGAACATCTCATACTTTAAAGAAACATCGCCTTTAAAGAAAACAACTCCATCAGCTTCACTTACAAATTATCTGTGCAAAAGTACAGTATTTCATAAATAAACTTTACCCCAATATTACAGAAGAAAAGCTCTAGGATACATTAAATATAAATACAGTGACAGCTGAGCTGCAAGTTTAATTTAGGTATATACAATAATATGCTCACCAGTTCTTTCCGTGGATGTACCTTTAGCCTCCCTGAGTCCTTTTCCATACTTAGCGACACGACACATTTTCAGATGCTTGCTCAGTAACAGCAGCGACAGCTTCGGCGTTAGAGGGAAGGGAAGTTGGGAAGGAGTATGGCAAGGTGAACTCCGTTTCATTTCTCATGATTTTAAGCCTACTGTACTTTTGCTTCTAGGAGCCCACTGGTGACGACGTGCCCGTGACCACTTACGCAAGCACTGACATGCCTTAGTGAATCTGCTCCGAGATAGGCCATTAAGAGTTCAGTGTGTCGGATTAATAATTGCATAAGATCTTCAGCCAAACTCTCCATGGTTGAGTACCTCACCTTTTCAAAATCAAAAATGTCTTTGAGGAAGAAAAGCACTTGATCCTAGTGGGGAAAAAAAAGAAAAAGGAAAAACCTGTATTCACTTACAAGAAAAAAAAAAAAGTATGCAATGCTATTTCTTTTACATGCTTCCTAAAAATATCCATTTATTTATTCCTTTGGTGCTAAGATAGAAGTGCACTAAAACAGACTTTACAAAGTAGTTCTGGGCTTAAAAAAAAAAAAAAATTAATATAAAAAAATATTAAACTGTTCTTAGTCTTAATCTTTGGAAAATGCAAGTGTATGACTATAAATAAGACAGTAAGATTCTCACTTCTTTTAATCTGGAATATATTTTTTTTTAATTAATATAAGAGATAATTAAAAAAAAGTTACAAACCTTGAAGAAGCAGCATAGGTCATAAAGGGAGTTTCTAGGGCCCAAAAAGCCCCATGCCAAAACAGGGCTGATATGCTCACATATAGCATAGAAATGTGCAAAAAATCCATCAGGCACCTAGTGATGTAAAAATTGTGGACAAATTTACACAGTAAATACAGTATAAATCCCTATTATATAAAATAAAGTCTTCAGACAAGCCTGAAACACCCACTACTTCAGGGCTGTGGTAACTTGAAGTTCTTTAAGTTACAGGGCAACAGCACCAAACAAGTATCATCCTTTTTTTTTAGAAAAGGTTTTTACTTCAGTGCTATTTTAAATACTCTAAGATTAATGGGCATAAGCTCAAAAAAGATAATCAACAGTCTACTCTGACTCCCACACACGAGATTAGATAATTTTATTCAGTGACTTCTGTTTAAAGTCTCTACACACTATGTATATAGCTGGAACTTGCAAGAAGTAAGGAAACAGCATAGTTTTGAATTGAACAAAAAAATATATACATTTTTAAGTCTAAAGAAAAACAATATACATGAATGTCCATCCTGTTGTTACTTTTACAGCCTACAGGCACTCACAAACTAGAATAGAATATATTTTTATATAGGTATATATAAATGTACAGTTTATTTTATATAGACATAAATGTATATTTATAATTTTACAACATCAGTTAATTTTGAAAATAATAAAGATATAAATTAATCATTAATTAAAACATAAAATACCAGAAAAAGAACTGTCCACAAGTAAAGTTCAGTTCATCAATCTCCTTGTGGTGCACTTATTCTCTCCCTTACAAAAATATCCACGGAGCTTAACTTTATCCATTTTTGAATGACCACAGCAGCACTGATGAAACTAGTTCCAAAGAGTAAAGTTACACATCTACAAACTTATAAAAATTGAGACTTCAGTACACAAAGGAACTACAGAGGAAGGTAGCTGTCTATTGAAATAAAGTAATAGGTTACTATAGCATCTGTTTTGGAGAGACAATCCCTTTATAAAAAAATCATGTAGAAAAGATCTATTTATATAAAATTCCCAACCATAATGTCACCAGGATGTAACATTTCAAATCTTAAGACATGATGGTAGTGGAGTATCTTTTGCAAAATCCCAATTGTCATTGGAAGCAACTGTTTTTTTATGATGAAATATGTCTTTAGCAGTTAGGAGTCATGTAAATAGCTATTCTTAGAATCATAGGAAGGTGTCAGTGCCAGTAACCTGAGCAGAGACTCCTCACCTGTGGTGTGTAAACCCACTTCTCACAGCTAGGGAGGTCCTGCAACAAGCCTCAGCTCTGCTTCTGGACTGGCTATTACTGAGATACAGCTTTTGTCTCCTAGGTCTAATAAAATCCTTCAAAGGTGGAAGTAAGGAGCTGCTGGCGCAGAGATATTCTACTTCAGAATCTGCAAAGTTCCTTCCCTGAGAGGTCAGGATGCAGAAGTGGGCTGAGGGACGCTGCAAAACAGTTCCTCCCGCTGGCAAGGAAGATGGTACTTCAGGTAGGTAAAGGGATAGGGCTAAATTTTATTTAACCATAGAGATGGGGTTGAGAATCGTAGTATAAGCAGACCCTTGGTCTGCAAAAATCCAGCGTACATGAGAGGGGCTGTAAGTCAGATAAATTACTGTCACTACTGTTGACCTAAACTAGGTTAAAAATCTTTCAGCTAAGATTTTTCGCTAAAAACAGACTTTCAGGGCCCCATAAATTGAACTTCTACAATTAGCATTCTCATGTCCAAGCTAACATGTCTACAGCATTAAGGATTGATCTGTAATTCACAGCTACAGAAAAGAACTTCAGATTCGTGGGAGATGACCAGTAACTTTGCTCTCGACATGATCTGCAAAGCAACTTACCTTCATTTGCTGTCTTTTCTGCTTCAGTACTGACCAACAGCTTGAAGCCACAGCCTAAATGTAAAAAAAAAAAAAAAAAGCCCCAAACCCTGTGTAATTTTACAGTAAGAGAAATTGTTTTTCATTTCATAAGAAGTGATTCACAGAATACTGTATTTCAGGGATTTGTATTGTCTTCAGTTTCAGTCTTGTGATAACTCAAAATTTAAAAATTATAAAATATCAATTGATACAAAAAACTAATTTAAACTAAGTTTAACTGAAGATCAGTCTCTCAGATACCAAGTGTGTGCTCAGACATAAGTAACTAGTTTAGATTTTAAGTGGCACGTGAACACATTGAAATGTTCCTTCTCCATTTTAGCAAAAACATTCTTGCAATAGCTTCAGATTCAGCTAAGGAGTTTTGTCCAAATATGGGCCTGTGTAATACAATACACCGATATCAGTTCTAGGCTTTTTCCCCCCTCATAGCTTGTAATTATCCTCATCCGATTCTCCTTCAGTAGTGCAAGATAATTTACTACTCACAGAACACAATGTTATCACATAACTACAAAAATAAATATATGCATGTTATCTTTCTTCTAGAGGGAATATTTCAACTGAAAGACAAAACTAAAAGGAAAAATTGCAGTTTACAGATATAAATGAATGAATTGACAGTAGTATCTCTACCAACTGACCAGGGCAGCAGCCTGTATATTTGTAACAGAGGGATGTGATCTATTTGACAAATGAACAGGCACACCTGAAAAAGTGTGAAAGGTTATCCACATTTGAATGCCTATATTGTATTAATTTACTTCTGTTTGCTTGCAACTTTGTGCCTTATTGCTAATTCTCCAGTATACAAACCAAACCCTCTATCTAGTACCTAAGATTTGGCTAACAAACTTCCCTTCTAAAACTCTGCTTCTTCAGAGAAATCTCGTTTTTGCAGGACCATTAAAGTATTTTCTCCAATACATTCAATCATTCTATCTGTTTTGAGCCCAGAGTTGTAGCTTTTAAATTGTTCTGTTTATTTTTTCTGAGGAATATTTTAGGTACATATTCAGTTATACTGGAAGCTGAATTATAGACTTCACAGTGAAGGACAGTGTAGTTTCTTTGCTTCAGAATTAATGCTATTATCAAGACAACATACACAGTCTTTATCCCACAGTTGCTGGACTTATTCTCGCTTTTATATTGTGCTTTAAGGAAATAAATCATAGATCACCAGAAGAACAGCTTCAGCATATACATAAATATATCAGAATAATCACACCAATGTTATTATTTATCATACCATCTGTTTATTTTAACCTACTACAGACTAACAATTATGGAAACTACACATAAATACTTACTGTTTCCTTAAAAGAGGAATTTAGCCAGCGGTTATTTACTACATTCTGTATAGTTATTGGTGGATTTTCTAAATCTTCAAATGAATCCATTAATATGAAGTCCAGGACGACATCATAAAAATTCAGGTTTTTCACCTGTATTAAATCAGAACATGATCTAAGTAACCTCGTTATCCTTTCAGCAGTGGAATTCAGCATGCACCACATTCTAACACTGTATTAACATGCAGATTTTTAATTGGCTTTAATTAATATTGAAGATACTTTGTCAGTAAAGGAGAAGTTAAAAAAATATTACATGCTTTCTGGTAATAAACTATAGTGGTGGATATCATTTCTGTAAACCAGCAATATAAATAAAAAACGGGTTGCCTTTCCCATGATTCTAAACTGTAAAAATTTATTTTTAGATGCTACAGTTTGCATAATTAAGGGCAAAACCACTTTTCAGAAATTCAGACTCACTCCTCTAGCAGCAAGTTCCATTTCAGTATTATCCCAGTGATCTGTTTGTTCCAAAAAATGTATCATTTCATCAAAAACATCTTCAAATTTCTTTGGATTCTGTAAAGTAAAAGCAATGAGTATCGAACAGATTTAACACTGGAAAGTGAATTCTGGTAGAAGTTACATTAACAATAAAGCATTAGTTAAAAAAAACTTTTACCTTTCGTGCTTTCACAATTAAAGCAGACAAAATTTTTCTTCCACTTTCAGCAAGAAATATTCTGTTTGCTGTTTCTGAAAGAATTATCTAGAAAAGGTTTCAGAAAATATAGACATATTAATTCATAAGTTGTACTAAGTGACCTTCAGCACTACAGTGAAATCTAATGTAATTATATCCCCTAGTATAGTAGGCAAGTTCCTAACAAGCCTTTGGTGCCAAGGTTTAAAAGCTAATTACAAAGTTGGGACTCCTGTGCAAATACATCCCATTTTAGAATTACAGAAATATAAAATGAACAAGAAAATATTTAGTTACAGAATACATTAAAATAATGTTTGCAGAGACGATGCATTGATAGTTTCAAAGGCACATACTTTAGGTTTAACAAGACAGAAAGACAAATCACTCTCATTATTTACCTGAAAGGCTTGTCGAATGCAATGAAGCTTAGCAAGGAAGTCACTGTCTCCTAGACATTCAAACATTTCAGTCCTATACAAAGCATAAACATTTTCAAAGACCATTAAGAAAGAAGCACAAGAAAATTCAACTAAGTCTAATTCCTAGAAAAAAATACAAATAACTTCTAAAAAACGAGTTCTACGTAGACTATTTAACTTTAATTCTTGCTTTCCTTGAAAATAATTAAGTAGACATAAATCAATACCTTAACACTCGTGAGTAAATTTTGCCTTCTTCTGCTAAGTGCATAGCTTCTTCATACAATGGGCAATGGCAAAGGGAGTCCAGACCATACATATTACGAATCTCTCTGTGTTCTGTAAGCTGAAAAAAAAAATGCAGTTCACTAAAGAGCTTGCTAAGGTAATTTTTGTAAAGACGATATAAGTTGGCATCCTTGATATTTTGCTAAGAGAGAGAACCTTTTCTGCACCTGCTTAAAGCAAAGGGGCAACACTCCACTAGGAAACAGAAGAGAAAACCACACTATTGACAATATTGTTACTTTGTAACTTTTAAAATCAGAAAGCTACAGTTTCAGCTTTCAAGTTTCAAAAGTTTAATTAAAATATTGAGGCAGTTTAGTTTATTCTAAATTTTACTACTTAAGTTTTTAACTTGCTCAGTTAAATTTAACGGGTGTCAAAGCTGTTAAAAAAAAAAAAATTGTCAGGACACAAAGTACACAATTATTCCATCATGCAAATCTTTAGGAAGCTGGAAATAGTAACATCCCCCCACCCCTGTTTTTATTTCACTGGTAAATATGTGTGCTAGTTAGCAAAGTACACTGTACAAGGCACGAGCATCCAGCATTTTATTATAGGCTCCCCAAATAATTTCCATTATCAGCAATTCTAATCCTGTATAAATTACCATAAACTCACAGACATTTTTTAGAGCAAGAAAAAACAAAAATAGATTAAGAAATCAAAACACACGAATAATACAGACAACTCCTGTTTATAGGGTATCATGTTTAATCTACAGAACAATGGCTAGCAACAATTTCTACTACAAACATTACATCATATTAAGGATAAAAAAAAAAAACCCAGAGGCTTACTCATCTTGCAGTTTAGTTAACGATCAGAAAATTAATTCTAATTTTGTTTAATCAGTTTTATATATATATGTGTGTGTGTATATATATATATATGTGTGTGTGTGTGTGTGTATGTATCTATATCTCTCTCTATATATATATCTCCTGCGAGAAGGGAAACAAACCTCTGCTTCTAGGCTATAAAAACAGAGCCTAGAAACACCTTCAAAAAATAATTCTCACAGTAACTGGACTATAGAAACATAGTTACCCTCTATGTTAGAAACAGTTTTTTAAAAATCAGATTAAAATCTAACTTTATGTTAAACTTCTGCTAAGCTTTTCAAATAAATATATGCTGAGAAGTTTTTCCTATCACTGAGGACATATAAGCAAGTGCTCGCATGAGACTTCATAAAGACATTAAGTATGCTTCCAGTGTGCCTTCTCCACAGGCTTTAGTTGAGCCAATTACAGCACCAGTAATTCTGCCAAGCAGGTTTGCCTACTGATAGGAAGAATACAAGCACGTGCCAACACCTATTTTCGTCTCTGTAAACATTTAAGCACATTAATATGTTAGAGATTTCAGTACAGAGTAGCTGTTCTGACATACATCACACATTGTTAGCTGGTATTTGCTAGAACTTACACTGCTGTTTTGAAACACTCACAGCACCTTTTGCTGTATACAAATTCATACAATTCCTGTCATAAAATCGACAGGTTCCATTTTAAAGGTTTTTTTGTTTGTTTGTTTTTTTGGGTAGGAGCAGGAAAATATGTATTCCTACACAGATATCTGTAGAATTTTTGAACTGATATTTGAGTGACAAGAAAATAGCTAGGGAATAAGTGAAGGAATAAAAGGTTTAAGGTCAATGAAATGTTATATTTAAACGAGTAATGTACACTTTCAGAATTCATCTAGCTTGAAAGTATTTCCTGTTTTTAAGTATGAATTCGCTTATCAGTTGATCTGCTTGGAAAAACAGCAGAATAAGGTGACTTGCTAAAAAGATTACAGCTATTAAGACCAATGATTTTATTCCAATTTAATAATACTAATAAATAGAGCCAAACTGTGGTTTGGTTTCGCCAATTAAAAAAGCCCACTTGAAAATTTGTGTTCTTATTAAACAAAAGAAGGCATACAGCTTTTCATTGAAAACATATGTGGAAATATTTAGAAAGGAATAATTTAACCAACTGGAAGACACAGGAATATATTGATTTCTTGCAGATATAAGAGATCGGTATACATACGGACACACATGCATATATAATGTAGTAGTTAGAACAGGTTTAAACAAGAAAAAGTGAAAAATCTTTACTCCAAAATTTTTTTTCTTACATCATGGTTAAGAAAGTATTAACCGTGGAACAGTACATACATATTTTCCAAAATGGAGATCAAAACAGAACACAAGTATACTAATTTGTGTCTTACCTGATCCAGCTATTATTGAAACAATAAAACATTGTATTTACTTTCTTTAATTTGCAATGCATGAGAAGAATTAGGTTGCGAACATATACACACTTTGTAGACAGCTGCCCCTCTCTCAGAGATTATAATTTCTGTGGTAAAAGGAATTATACTACTTTTCTCCAGTGAATTTCAGGCAAATCACCTTCTTCAGATATTTACACAAACGGACTGACTGTGACTGAATTAGGACTTGTGTGATTCCTGGTTAGATGCAGGTAAACTCCATCAGCTGACAGCAAGCCTGAGATGGTACCATCTCTAGCACATGAAGATGCCCAGTCTTAGCCTTTGTGGTTATAGAGTAGCATAGAGCCTGGTACCTGGGAGGTGAGGCCCTCAATTATATTTAGCTTTTTTTTTTAAAAAAAAAACAACTTACCCTCATGCTTGCAGATGAAATAAAATGGCTGTGTTACTGTTGTAATGTGTATTATTGAGCTCAAAGGAGTTAAATCAAATGGCAATCAAGCAAGAAAAAAAAGTATAACTATTCTTCCACTGAGAATCATAGAATGTCTGGGCTGGAAGGGAACTCCAAAGGTCATCTAGTCCAACCCCTCCGCCATAAGCAGGGACACCTCCAAGTAGACCAAGCTATTCAGAGCCTCATCTACCCTGATCTTAAATGTTTCCAGGGATGGGGCCTCCACCACCTCTCTAGGCAACCTATTCCAGTGGTCTATCACCCTCATACTGAAGAACTTTTCCTAATGTCTAACCTAAATCTCCCCTTTTCTAGCCAAAATCCATTACCCTTCATCTTGTCACTACAAACCCTTATGAATAGTCCCTCCCCTGCTTTCTTGTCGGCACCTTTCAGGTACTGGAAGGTCGCTATAAGGTCCCCCTGGAGCCTCCTCTTCTCCAGGCTGAACAACCCCAGCTCCCTCAGCCTGTCCTCACAGGAGAGGGGCTCCAGCCCTCTGATCAATTTTGTGGCTCTCCTCTAGACACACTCCAACCAGTCCACGTCCTTCTTGTGCTGGGGGCTCCAGAGCCGGGCACAGGACTCCAGGGGAGGTCTCACCAGGGCAGAGCAGAGCAGCAGGATCACCTCTCTCCATCTGCTGGCCACGCTTCTTTTGATGCAGCCCAGGATTCCATTGGCCTTCTGGGCTGCTGCTGCACATTGGTGGCTCATGTCCAGCTTCTCATTTACTAGCACCCCCAAGTCTTTTTCCAGTGGACTGCTTTCTAACATGTCCTCTCCCAGAAGAGGGTTTTGATTACAGACTGAAGTTAGTTCCAACCAATAACATTTGGAAAGGGGATGCAAATTCCTCTATCACTGACTTATCTTAGCATGCAAAGAAATGAGAGGAAAAAAACCAAAACAATCCAAAAAAGAGGAACTAACCCAACCTCTAAGTTCAACTAGAAAAGGTAGTGCACTCTGTAGTGCACATTTCTTTACAGATCCTCTTTCTTCACATGTTTTAAGACTATAAGAAGAACTTCCATACCTCATTAAAGTCCTTAGAATAGGGACCTCCTTACAATTTGCTACCCAGGGCATGCTGGACTACAGGACTGCTGTACTGCATTCGTTTTTGAGGCAAGAGAATAATCCATGTCAGATTAGGCAGATGACATGAACATGGAGGAAGGCACCAGGATGAGATTAGTAAAACCTGAGAAGATCAGATTAGTGACTATGGTTGCACTTCTGAAGGCAGTCAGAACACCAGACAGCATATCTCATATTTTTGTGATGAAACAGAAATAAACCCAAAGAAAACAAGTCTCACTTATAAATGCTCTAGGAATAGATTTTACAATTATGTGCCAACATTATTCCCTTTGATATTCCCTATTTCAGGAAAGGAATAAAACCTCTATCTAGAAAACAGGAAGAAGGTAACCGTGCCTTTCAGTGACAGGGCTCTTTGAGCACTTTCTAAACCTAAAAATTAACCTTCAGTCAGTTTGATGGTTTTAGTGCCATATACAAATAATTACAGGCATACAAAACCTGGTGCTTTTTCCTGTCATCAAAGCCTGCTACTTCCTGCACTGTTTTGTTTTAATAGATTTGAACTGAGAAAAAGACAACCTTACTAAATGGATTACTGATAAAAAAAAGGACAGCTAAGGCTTTATTCATAAATCTAGAAAAATTTCCTAAGCTTTGGATTGAATTAGCATTTTAGTAAAGACAGTAAAGTTTATTTGATAATAGAGCTACAGATTCAGTTCTAGTCAAGGTATGGAAATAAGGCATGATAAATACAGGTGCACCAACAACAGAGCTCGCTGTCAGGGAAAGCAGGAAGGAGCTTCTCTTGGAAAGAAGGAAAAGAAGCCAAGAAAGAGGGTGGGGGCCTTTATCTGGAGCACTCACAGCCATATTCTTGCCAAAGGCTGCAGCTATTTTGATCACATAGTAGGTAAAATAGCAAACATGAAAAGGATACTAACTCTCATGAACATAAGCTGATGGCAGATGGTCTCAAAGAGAGAAGAAAATACCATTATTTATCACAGTATACAGTATCAATAACTTAATTAGGGCAAACAGTTGTACTACTTAACTATCCCTTCTGCAATGCTTCTGAGAGCCTATGTGTGTTTAGAAACAGAAGTCTGTCTGAGCTTGGGGTTGGCAGCAGTCTGTCTAAATAATTATTGTAAGGATTTGGGCATCTGTGTATTGTATATGTCCAGACTGGCACAATTCTCCATGAGAAGTCATCAAGTGCATGATCCTCAGCAGCTTCTTGATTATCAGCCATAGCCAAGATGAAGTTTTGGCTCACCCTACTGCTACCCTGTAGAGCTCATCAAAAGGGCACCTGATTTAAACTCTGCCAACTGCCCCAGTTTTTTCACAGTTCTTTGTTTAAAAGCCATCATCCAGCAAAACATTCTTGTTGCCTCCTAAGCAGTAACCCTATCAATTTCCTTCAAGACATCTATCTATGTCTTGGTTTAGGATTCCCTGTATCTCCTGAGGGCCACGAATTAAATTTGACTTGACTGTGTGTCAGCATTGAAACATAAAAATAGTTTCCACTCTCTAAAACCAGTCACATAAAATACTTAGTCCTGCTCATTGGGACAGGGTGCAATGTAGAAGAAAGGAATGACTGTCAGCAAACAGCTTGTAGCATGATGTGTTCACAAAAAATGCTGCTACTTTGTCATTTCCCAGAAGGTGAAGTTACTAATGATTCCAGTAGAGAAAAATCACATAACTGTATATCTATATATATATACACACATGAACTTCGGGTTTCAAAATTTTCCTTACCATTTGAATCAGCACACAGAGTTTAGGAAAGTCACTAAAATTGTAACTGCCACCAGGATACATAGGATGAAAGAATTGCCTATTTGCCCATTAGCTGAGACAAATCTGAAGCTGGAAAAGCTTCAGACGTCTTAACCTGAAACACACCACTTGTTTGCAAGTTCAAGAATTAAAAAAAAAATGAAAGAAGTAAATAAGCAAGAAGCTACCTAACATCACCACATTGAGAATGAAAAAAAAACCTTGGTATGTCAGTTCTAATACAGTTACATCAAAGGGATTACTGTTCTCCAATAATAGCTGAAATACACTGGGCAGTAGTTATTACTCCTTCTTACTGCCAGCTATTTGGAGTACTAACTTAAAGCATATTTTCCCCCAGAGGATGGGCTAAACTTTACATCAATGTAACACTCTAAGAGAAGACCAATTCACAGCTTTATTTTACCTGCACCTCACAGTGATGCCCCAGTAGCTATGACTAGACAGTCAACTGGCCCTGTAGTTTAAGCCTAGTGGCTCATATTTAATCCAGAATTTCAATGGTGTTTTGGTTGGACCACCAAACTTCAAGATTTTTTATGGCTTTGTTGATCTTCAGGACTCCTATCAGTTGCTAATTTTAATGGATTCTTCAATAAAATCTGAGAAAGGAGATCAGAGGGCTTGTTCTACTGGCAGATGCTAGGACAGCTGGAAATGAAGAGAAAACCTTCCTAATTTTGTCTGGAAAAAGAGTTGACAGAAGCAGCTTTGTAGTATCAAAATGTCTTTACATATCTTGAAAATATTCTCCACAATTTTGTTGCAAATTTTGACCCAAACATCAGCAAATACTGAGACAATTTAGCTTCACTGAAGTGATACATCCTAGAGTTTTTTTTGTTTTGTTTTGTTTTGTTTTGTTTTTTTGTGTGGGGTGTGTGTGGGTCTTTTTAATCCAAGCAACACAAATGAGCATAATGACTTGTTCCCATTTTCACAAACTTGCAAAAACACTACGAAAGTTCATGAAATAAACCAACCAACCAACTCCCAGAGTGTACAAATGAATAGTTTACAGCTTCTCTCAGGAGCTGATAGAGTTGAAGCAAGCTTGAATTGTGGCCTTGTCCACATTACAGGAAAGAGTAACCAGTCTCTATAGGCACAGTCTTTGTTAGGAATGAGTCCCAGGCATACCATCACAACTGAACGGGAATTACTAAGGCAAGGTAATCACAATTTAATGTGAGCTACTAAATAAAGGCAATTGCCATGTAGAAAAACAAACGATACAACAATCAAGATAATAACTGTAAAGAACAAGTATGCAATTCTTTCTCTTTTTACAACTGTCTGAGTTTAGTAGCTTAGTTGTAGTGCATGCAAGAGCAACATCTAACACAGAATGCATGTATTGAGATAATTGCCTTTCCTGTAATTTGGAGAAGAGTGCTACTCAAGATCACTTCAGCTCCTGAGAGACTATCAAAGAAGATATTCCTCATTCAAAAAATGTGTTGTTGCACAATATTATTTCAAATACCTGCAGAGAGCTGTAGCAGATTTCAGCTAACAGGCAATGCCCTGTTATCCAAAGATTATTTCCTTATGTATCCTTTGAGGTCTTATACAAGGTGATAAGGCAAAGTTAGATGAAGTATATTATATTGTGCATGGAATGTCATAAAATAGGTAGCTCTCAATTTCTCATGATTTCCTCTTAAAAAACAAAACAAAATGAAAAAAAAACAAAACAAAAAAAAAAAACCACTCCAAAAATGACAAAGCCATCTTTATATTATGTAAAAGAAAAAAAAAAAAAAAAAAGAAAAACACAATGCATGGTGAAAGGAGCCTCAACTGCTTGTGCTTCTTCACTCATGAAATTCTGATATATTTTTCAAAAGCAATTTTTTTTTTATAATGAGTTGGCTAAAAATTCTGCCAGTGCACAAAAAAAAAGATAATCAAATTGGTTCTGACTTCATTACTTGAACTGCTAGGAACCTCATTACACTAAAGCAACAAAAGCTTCTCTTTTTCCCCATAAAAGAAATAGATTTTGCTTACAGTACGTAGCAAAAATTTAAGATTCTTTTGTTCAAACAGATCAACGAATCTTCAAAGAAGCAATCTTTATAAGAGTCTTACCTCAGCTGTGGAAACAAAGGAGTCTGTTGATGCAATGCTTAATGTATCTCGAAGGCAGAAATCATCCATATTGTCCTTTACAGTAATGTCTGTATTTTTATCTTTAAAATAAAATTTAAAAATAAAAACCCAGATTATTAGACTATCATACAAATCAATTTAAGTCTTGAAAGTGCGTTTCATGTATACTTAAATGTAAGATTTTATTTAGAAGACACAATGCTGTACTACTATGCAAGTAACTTCTGTGACCTGCTAACGTAGATAAAGGCGACTGTCTTTTTCTGTCTTTAAAGTTGACTTACAAACATAATCTGCAATAGATACAGAAAAGAAAAAAATATATTTCCCCAGGGGATTTGCTTTTTCTTTGATAGACTTCTGATGACTCGTCTATCTAAAGATATTACTTTGCTACACTGACCTAAACCCTTGGTTAAGCTTTTAACCTGGCTGTGTTATAGAACAAATACTCAATGTTTTAGGAATAAGAAATACTAATCCACATAAAAGTCCATTAATACTAATTAAAAAAAAAAAAAAAAATGTTTCAGCTTCACTTGAATTAGTTTCTTTTTCTACTTCTCATGGTTTCTTTTTTTCCTTTTGCTGCTTCTTCAGGAGAACAAGTGAAGTTTTTAATCTTCAGTGTACCCTCTTTCCCCAAAAAGATTTTCTACCGAAATATCACATGCAGAAGTGTTTCCAATAGTACTAGAATTCTTAAAGTCATTAAAATGACTGATTTTTTTTTTTTTTTTGTTAAAATAATCTGCAAGAAAATTTCTCTCAGTTTTCCTTTATTTTATTATCAGATTTCAACCGCTGGACACATTACTAGCACGTATGGTTTTGTTTTCATCGTACAGAAACTTTCGGAGAAGGATTAAAGTTGTAAGTCAGACTTCAGCTTGGTGTGCCCCATACTACATTCTTGGTAGAGCACAGGCATTTATTTTGGGTTACTTTACCTTCAGACATTACACATGTTGCTAGAAGTCTGTTTTATTTCCAACAGTCAACAGCAACCAGCTACCCGGTGTCATCCAGATCTGTTGCTACAGCAATACTTCATAAAAAACACTACTACACAGCAAAATGGCCAAAAGGCAATATCCTGGAATAGTTTACTCATCAGTTGAAATGCTACAAATCCACATAACTACTATTTCAGTGGTTGTTATGGTTTTATTAGTTCCAGACTTGGAATGACAGCTCCAAAATTGCACAAAACAATAACTATCTGACTTTGAAAATATTCACTGAAGGAAAAAAATTATTAAAAGTTTGGACAAGGCTTTTATGAGACTGAGTTAGGCAGATTCCTACTTGCAGTCACAACTTCACCAACATACATATGAAAGTCTCCAATTTTTTCAGATCATTTGTAATAGTTTGTTCTTTCTTTTGACCTCTCAACATCAACAGGAAAAGTACAGCAGCCTCCAAGTTAGTTAAGAAACAATCATATACTGGAATTTGAAGAGCTGGAGCAGAAAAACAAACCATGGTTCGTAAAGCATTTGCGTGAGGTCTGGTAAGTGCAGATGTGTAACATGATGTTTCCTTCTTATTTCTAGCTCATAATTTGCATTAATCCCGTTCTAATATTACATTAAATGCTTTTCTAATACCCCTTTTTCATATAAACAGTTGCTGAAACTGCAATAATACTGTTAAACATAAGTACAGGGAAGTATAGCCCTGGTTCTCCACAGAGCCTCCTCCTTTTGGCCACATTGTTTTCCATAATAAATTGGCAATTAAAACAAAAGTTTCTACATCTCACACTTAGAAAAGCCGTCTAGCACCCAGTTCAAGTGCAATCCAAAGAAATTATTTTCCTGATCCTCCCAGTCTATAGGCAAAATGCAACATTTCATGAGAATTAAACAGCTATGTTCATAAGTAGCAATGTAAACTACAAACTCCGAAAAGAGTGAAGCATGGGCCATACTCATAAAGATCTTAGTGATGGCTTTAATGAAGATGTTAAGGTAAGAACTCAACTCTTACATACACAAACTGCAGTTGTCAAGTGGTCTCATATATCAAATTATTTACAGTTCGAGAACATCTCCACCACCCTCACATGTGGAAGTTGCAACTATACCACGGACTGAAGACTCCAAGCCTTTGGATACTGTCCAATAATTACTGTGCTGTTATATGTGAGTTTGTAGCTCAATGACAACAACATATCCCCAGACTGGCATGGCTATATGACTAAATATAAACGGGAATAGTGCTATTTAACTAATATTATTCTGCATATATTTAAAAAAGTAATTGGTGTAAATGAAGGAACCACAGAGTTTCCAGCCCTGAATACCACAGAATCAGGGGTTCTTCTGTAAAGTTTGCATGCAGCCTGCTACAGATTACATGAATCTCTAGAGATCATAAGCGTTCGAATACATCTATGTTTGTTAAAGAAGTCATAATTCCAAGTTTTCTAGCATGGACCTGGAACTGTCACCTAGTCAGTATGTTTCTAATATGTTAGTTGAATATGGAATATCTATGTTTTCACTTAAAGAAAAATTTCACTACTGCGACAGAGAAAGGCATACAATTTGCATGTTATGACAAAAATAAATTTGTTAAAAAAAGGTTGGTAAAGCTGAGCAAAATACCTTTGGCAAGTGATACGTGCATATAAAGCACAGCCTCCCCAAAGAAAACAGCCTGTCAGCTATTTCTGACTTTCTAGCCACCACCACCCTCACACCCTAAAATACCCTTAGCCAAGCAGGTGCTTATCAATACCCACATTGTGCAGAGGGCACACCATTATGAAAACCTTAGGGTGAAAAATCAAGTTACAGCTGGAGTACATACCATGCAAGTACAAGAGAACATTCTTAGACACAAGAACATGAAAGGAAAAAAAAAAAAAAAAAAAAAAAAAAAAAAAAAAAAAAAAAAAAAAAAAAAAAAAAAAAAAGAGACAGCAGCACAATGAGACTCCTGGAATGAACAGCTGCAAGAGGAACCCACCCACCAGTGGCTGCAACTGCTCGTACAGTCATCCCTCATTCTTATGTACTCCCATACCTTCAGGAAAGGAATACTAGTATGTGAACTTCAAATATACTTTTCTTATTTGAGAAGCCAGGGACTTATTTTGGGTCATTTTATATTTATAAAGAGGATGAAAGAGTTTTAGACATGATACTGACAACTGCCATCAAGACTTAGCTGTAGTGCCTTAAAATGCATATGTGGTTCAGAAGTTAGACTAAGGGTATCACAAACCTGGAAGAATATAAAGAGTCTTGCTAAAACTTGTGAAACTAATCCTAGCTTTATAAGATTTTGCAAAGAACTATTTGAAACTAAGCAAGCTGAAAAACCACAAACTGGAACAAAGCGATGTTCACATCTATTCACAAAGTATTAATCTAAAGTATTTGTCTTCGCTCTGGCAGGTTTGTGTGGTAACACAGACCAAAACACTAGCCCTCTAAGCTCCCACAGTAAAATCTGACCTTAAAGATGGAACCACACATAAATTAGCTTTTTAGCATTCAGCTGGGAAGCATTCATCCTCACATAAAGTTTTAGAATTCTGAAAACTGTTTCTATGTTATATCTCCTCCAATCCTGAATGAAACATGGTGTGAGTTTGCAAGTGAGTTTGACACTTAACGTGCAGCAGTTAAAAAAGGAAAGCACTTACTGGCAAAGAACTCACTGTGAGTTAAGGAATTTAGTTCTGAGTGCCACTGTTAAAGCCATAGTTTCCTATTCTCTTCAGCCCTCCCACTTGAGTGGAATATCAGTGCAGCACTACATCACGAGCAGGAAAGCAAGAGGAAAAAAGGAGAGACCTGATAGACTCCAAAGAGGAGAAGACCTTTCAAAGGAATCCACTTATGAAAAGTCAGGGTACCCTAGGAGCACCAGGGTCCCAGTATTCTGCCAGGCTACCACACGGTCACTGTGTTGTGTGCTAGTCGGGCCTCTTAGATGTGTGGCTTCATGCCTAGACAAAGGAATTACAATAATCAAGTTCAGAGAGCACAGAAGCATGAATTATTACATAATTCAGTTTTAAGGGAATGTGTCACAGACTTCTAGCTAGTCAAAAGTGGCACAGTGGTTTGTCACCACTGTTGCTGAAGCATCCAAAAGCAGCTTTATTGACATTTATAAATAGTTATAACTCTTGAAAGTGTTGAGTGAATATTCACTCAAAAAAAAAATCATCACTCCTTCCAAGTAGCTACTAATGTATTACACGAAGTCTTACAAGATGCACCTAGAAAGCAGTGAATTTTTCTTTATGTCATATTTATAAAAAGAAAACAATCCCAACCTTCAGATAGCACATTCTAGATTAGGCTAGATGAAGCTTTGAGTAGCTTGAACTAGTTTGAGATGTCCCTGCTTATTGCAGGTGTGTTGGACTAGATGACCTTTGAGGGCCTCTTCCAGCCCAGATATTCTATGATTCTATGACTCTGAAGACATAGCTACAGGCTAAAAAAAGGCAAGGCAAGAAGAACAGGGTGTCCACACAGACCACTCTAGATTTAACAGTTATTGTTAAATTCTGTGTTTACGTTCTCCAGTAACACAAATATCTGGGCTCAAGACAGTGCCTATAGCTGGCGATATCTCACCTCACTTCATCTAAACAGAGTTGTTTCTGACTTCAGCATAAAAATGTATTTCAAGTCAGGGTCTTTTAAAAATATCTAACCAAATCTTTTACTCTACCAGTAATATACACCACCATGTATGATGAGTTAAACATGTCTCATGGTTCTTTGTTGGGACCACTGTGATGCAAACTGAAGTGACAAATTCCTTTAAAAAAACCCGAAACAACACTCCTCCCACCCCCAGCAAACCCACAGTAAGTTACTCCCGTGCTGCAGGATCATCCAGCCTGGCTGTCAGTATGGGCTCACGCCTCCATTAAGCCCGTGGTGAACATACAGCTTCTGCTCACCAACAGTTCACTAGGAACTCGGCAACCAAAGCAGTGGTGAAATAGAAAGGAATACTCGTGGAAAATGGAGCATTTGCCTTCCTCCTAGTATGCAAAAACTGTTTTCAAGGTAAGCTTTGGCTGAGCTAACTGCTGAGCCTT